TTGCTGGAGGGTTTGGGGTTGGGAAAGGGAATTTTTTAGGTTGGGAAAGGGAATTTTTGGGGTTGGCAAAGGGAATTTTTTGGGTTGGAAAAGGGAATTTTTTGGGTTGGCAAAGGGAATTTTTTGGGGTGGAAAACGGAATTTTTTGGGGTTGCTGGAGGGTTTGGGGTTGGCAAAGGGAATTTTTTGGGGTGGCAAAGGGAATTTGTTGGGGTTGCAAAGGGAATTTGTTGGGGTTGCAAAGGGAATTTTTTGGGTTGGCAAAGGGAATTTTTCAGGTTGGAAAAGGGAATTTGTTGGGTTGCAAAGGGAATTTTTTGGGTTTGCTGGAGGTTTTTGGTGAGGGTGGAGGGAGGTGGGAAATGGGGAGAATCCAAAAGGAATCCAGTTCCCATAGACAGTATCCCAAATCCCAGGTCCTAAATCCTGATCCCAAATCCCAAATCCTGATCCCAAACCCCAAATCCCAAATCCTGATCCCAAATCCCAAACCCCAAACCCCAAATCCTGATCCCAAACCCCAAATCCTGATCCCAAACCCCAAATCCTGATCCCAAATCCCAAACCCCAAATCCTGATCCCAAACCCCAAACCCCACATCCCAAACCCTGACCCCAAATCCCAAATCCTGATCCCAAACCCCAAACCCCGTTGCAGTCTCCTCGCCCGTGGTGGGGAAGCCGCACAAGTGCAGCTCAGCCTGCGAATCCTGATCCCAAATCCCAAATCCTGATCCCAAATCCTGACCCCAAACCCCAAATCCTGATCCCAAACCCCAAATCCTGACCCCAATTCCCAAATCCTGACCCCAATTCCCAAATCCTGACCCCAAACCCCAAACCCCGTTGCAGTCTCCTCGCCCGTGGTGGGGAAGCCGCACAAGTGCAGCTCCTGCGGCCGCAGCTACAAGCAGCAGAGCAGCCTGGAGGAGCACCGGGAGCGCTGCCACGGGCACCGGCACCGCCGCAGCCCCGCGCCCGCAGGTGGGCTGGGAATCCCCAAAATCCCGGGAAATATCCCGGGAAAATCCCGGGAAAATCCCAAAAATAGCCCAGAAAAATCCTGGGAAAATCCCAGAAATAGCCCAAAAAATATCCTGGGAAAATCCCAGAAATAGCCCAGAAAAATCCTGGGGAAATCCTGGAAATAGCCCAGAAAAATAGCAGAAATATCCCAAGAAAATCCTGAAACAATCCCAGAAAAGTCCTGGGAAAATCCCAGAAATAGCCCAGAAAAATCCTGGGAAAATTCTGGAAAATTCCCAGGAAAATCCCGGAAAAATTCCAGAAATATCCCAGAAAAATCCAGGATCCCAAATCCATGGATAAAGGGAGCGTTGCCAGAGCCACCGGCACCGCCGCAGCTCCGCGCCCCAAAAATCTTGGGAAAATTCCTGGGAATACCCCAAAAATATCCCAGAAAAATCCTGGGAAAATCCCAGAAAAATCCTGGGAAAATCCCAGAAATATCCTGGGAAAATCCTTGGAAAATCCCAGAAATAGACCGGAGAAATCCTGGGGAAATCCCAGAAATATCCTGGGAAAATCCTTGGAAAATCCCAGAAATAGACCAGAAAAATCCCGGAGTAATCATGGGAAAATCCCACAGAAGGCCCAAGAAAATCCCAGAAAAATCCTGGGAAAATCCCAGAAATATTCCAGGAAAATCCTGGAAAAATTCCAGGAAAATCCCAGAAATAGCCCGGAAAAATCCTGGAGAAATCCTGGGAAAATCCCAGAAAAATCCTGGGACTATTCCAGAAATATCCTGGAAAAAATCCCGGGAAATCCCAGAAAAATCCTGGAAAAATCCTGGAGACATTTTGGAGAAATCCTAGAAAAATCCCAGAAAAATCCTGAAAAAAATCCCCGGAAAATCCCGCAAAAATCCCAGATCCCAAACCCCTGGGGACAGGAAAAGGGGTTGGGAATGCGATCCCAAATCCATGGAAACGTGTGGGAAATTTTGGGAATGTGATCCCAAATCCATGGAAAAGGGCTGGGAAGTTTTGGGATCATGCTCCCGGTGCCGTGAGTCGACGCCCCCACAGCAGATTTTTGGGAATATTTTAATTTGGGATTCCCAGGATTTTTGGGAATGTTCCCATTTGGGATCCCATTCCAGAGCAGGATTTTTGGGAATATTCCCATTTAGGGTTTCCAGGATCAGAGCCCATTTCAGAGTGGGATTTTTGGGAATATTCCCATTGGGATTCCCAGGATTTGGGGCCATTCCAGAGCAGGATTTTTGGGAGCCGGATCATTCCTAATTAGGATTTTTAGGATCAGGGACCATTTCAGAGGAGAATTTTTGGGATCAGGGATAATTTCAAAGGAGGATCTTTGGGATCAGGGATCATTTCAAAGGAGGATTTTTGGGATCAGGGATCATTTCAAAGGATTTTTAGGATCAGGGATCATTTCAAAGGAGGATTTTTAGGATTAGGGATCATTTCAAAGGATTTTTAGGATCAGGGATCATTTCAAAGGAGGATTTTTAGGAT